ACTTGCAGCCTAAGTTTCACACAAGATGCAACAAATGAATTTAAACAAAGGCAGGCCAATGAGTGGCTGAAAACACCTACCATACAAAGTGTGGTACAGGACAGTCTGAAAAAATTCAGTCTTCCACTCTAACACCAGTGTTATTCACAGATCCTCAGCAGTGATACTTCTCATAAGAACTGCTAAATAATTTCATTCTCTGCATTTGGGTTGTATCTTTTGAAAACCCACATACCTTCAGCAGCATGTTAGCATCAAAAAAATCACGACAGCTGTTCTCAAGAATTACATAATGAAGAATTCCAGGTAGACAACCCATAGAAGCTCCACAGTAGGGGATTTGTACATATCAAAAATCATCTCCTTCCTCACCACAGGCATTGTGAGTCTGAACAATTCAGCTGAGGAAGGGTTCAGCTGAGATGTCCCACTACAAAGAACAGCTGGCAAGGTGCTGTTCAGCAACACTGACCTCCTGTGACCATCTGAACTTTTTAAGGGCATGCTGCAAACTATTGATAATTCACAGCCCTGGAAAACAATCAGACCCACAGTTTCTGCTCTTCGGATTAGTATCAGTTGCTGTGGTCACCTCACAATTCTTACTAAATGGTAAACAGCTCTGGAAAACAAGTATCAATTTTTTTATTTTCTCCACTGCTCATAATTTTCTTAATTTGGTCTCTCACAAAATCAATAACAAAGAAAACTACTGTGGTACTCCTCAAATCATCTGCCAGCTGTGAACAAAGCTGTCAGGTAATTAAGTGTTTAAATTCCACTCAGTCTCAGGTTAAGAATGACTCAACTCAGGTCTTGGAATAATCATGCTGCACCTCACACTTACCTGTGATAACAGGGAGAATTCTACAGTTAAAGATCCTCGGAGAATAACTAGAGACATACCAGTAATTAAGGAAATACTAACAACTAGTATGCCTTCAGTATTTTTATGTTCAAGACCTCAAAGCTTCATTACTACAGGTCAAAACTAAAGTAGAAAAAAAGTATGATGAAGCATTGAGTAGGTCATATTTGCATTTTTTTTTTTTTAAGTTTGTAATCAACTCCAAGACTTAACAGGGAGAAGCTTGAGCTTCTTTTGCTTCCACTGCACTGACGGGGCAGAGGAATAATTCATACCTGTGTGTTTATACAGAAAGATTGTGGGTTGGGGAACAACCCCAGTTTGGGAGAAACAAGCAGAAAGAACAAGTCAGGGAAGAAGGTAAGGGGTTGGATGGGTCTCTGGAAAGGATTTCAAGAGGGCAGGAACAAGTGAAAAATTAGAAACTGTTTCTTTAAGGTATTTTTTACATCCCATTTCACCAATAAAAATACTTCAGTGTTATGAAACTACAGGGTTGGTCTTAATTGATAGGAACAGGAGGAACATGCTTTTTTTTGCTTCTTCTTGACTGTTGTATTTCAAAAGACATCCCACCTTAGGAAAAATATCTTGAGGACTTTCAAAGAATTTTCAAAAGTTGTACTTGAGCTTAATCTAAACTACAACTCTCTAAAAAACATCAATAATACATTCCAGATCTTAAATAACAGGTCATGTGACAAGATATATAAAAAAAATTTAAGATTCATCAAAACAGTCATTAAACACAAGTTCATGATAGTTATGTGAGAGTTTAAAGGTTTAACCCCATGAAAAGTTTGTCTTCTCCTTCATTCAGTAGTGTCTGTCCCCCTTGGGATCTTCTGAGATGTCATTTGAACTTGAACCTTCAAAACCACTAATAAAGTGTGGGCCCACTGACCGTTAGGTCATAAATAATCTACAACCTCATATCATCTCCAAACTTTCAAGCAACTGCAGCTTAAGATTTACCTCTGACAGTTTTCAGTGATACATGCAGGAACCTCGGGAAGCAAGTAAACAGTTTTTCTGAATTTGAAATATATCAAAGGAATTTACAGATGCAAATAAAAACCATAAACCAAGATATTTCTTACAGATTTTATGTACCAGCTTATATCTTTCATTTTACATGTGAACTCGTCTCTGCAATAAAGTTTAAAACATTTCAGATTGTTCTTTGCATTTCCATTCTTATTAAAAAATTACAAAATTTTTGTTTAAAGAAAAAGTATCACAGTAAATCAGTCTGGATGCAGGGCCTGCCACAGTGTACCACCTACCAATGGATTTTGCTGCATTAAATCTCATTATTCTCAAACCTGCCCTCCATGACACCATCACCACTGAGAATGATGATCTACAGCGAAGTCACTGAAAGCTGAACAATCACTGAATACTCTGAGTTGGAAGGACCCACAAGGATCATCCAGTGTTATCCTCTGGATCACAGTTCCATTAAGAAACCATTTGTATTCTGTGCCTGAGCTCTACTTAAACAACGTCACACTCAGTGATCTGTTTTCTGTCACTGCCTCGGAATCCTCGTACCGTGTAAACAGTCTCAGGGTAAAACCAAAGATGGAAAACTGCACAACTGTGACTGAAGCATGGAACTGTTCAGAAGGGAAAGCAGAACCACCACCTATCTTCACAAAATCAGCTGAGTTACAAACGAGCAACTCGGACTATGACACTCGGAGATTCCAGTTTGTGGCACATTTTTCCACAGATTAGCTGAACTGTAACCTACTTGGCCAGCAGTTTCTTCAGGCAGGGATTTTAATTTTTCATGAACACATTGCTCTAATAAAGTACTTGGCATTAGTTATGGCCTTTGAATTAAAATGCATTCACGACATTAAATTTTAAAACCACTAAGCCATTAATTTTGATCAGCTTTCCTTTTTTTTTTTTTTGTATAGTGTTCGCAAGAATTAGTAACTAAGTGCATATTTCACCAGCAAAAGAATAAAAGCTGTACTAATAAAACTTACTTTTGCACGTCCCTGCAGAGAATGGCAATATTTTGCCAACTGCATAGCAAATGAAAGCCTAAACCAAATTTGCTGTTCCAATAAAGGCTCATCTGTCAAATATAACATAATAGTTTAACTTATGATTAAGGGCAACTTGGTACACAATTTGCTATCTATATTTTCTTCTGTATTCAGAAATAAAGAGGTTTACAGCATTGCAGAACAGTTCCATAAATTGTCTATCTCAAGCACTGACTTTAGTACCTATTTGTGAAACCATCTTCCTACAAAAATTTCCAGGTAACAGCTAAATAGCTGAGCCTCCTCAGCTGAGGATGCTGATCTGCAATTTCTTCAGATATGCAAGTCCCTGCAGTTGCCCTACTTTACCTTATAAAAAATTCCCCTTTTGTCTGCTTCGTTCAAGGCTAACATTCAAAAGCTCAGATAGCATAAATCACAGGTATTTTAGTTTTTAATATAAAATCATTACTTCAGATACGTCTGCTGGCCCCACTAACCTTGTTACTAAAAGAAATAATCACCTGCTGACAGTATGGGAGCCCAACAGCAGACTTCAAACCAAGTTTTCAACTTGTTTTATCTCGTTTCATCTCATTCATCTTACACTTAGGAAACAGAGTAGATGTGTGACACTTAAAATGTTTAACAGAAACAGACAATTTGATACCCAATTCCTATGCTAGTATCATCCTACTGTTCAATAAACTACAGTCAGTGCAGTTATAGTTATACATTTTAATTGAGTACAATTTACACACTTTATACACCTCTAAGTAGTGCACCAATTTGCTCAGCAATAAGCATGCAGCTCGCTAAAACAGATGTCTGATCCTCCAGCATCCCCAGCTCTTAGTACCCATTTTCTTTATTACTCTACATTAACTTGTAGATAAATTAAGCATAACATAAGTGTCTAAAATTCCAGCTGTGTTGCAAAATGCTGCTGTAAGGCTAAATTTTTAAGTCCAAGTAGTTTCATAATCTATGTGCAGTTATTTATGAAGGCAGCAGGAATGCTATTCTGACAGCCTAATTAAACTTCCAATAATGTCAGCAGGAATCTGATTGCAAAATGGCTCATTTTATAAACATCACTACTTTTATGACTGACAAAAATATACATGCTCAGGTGCCAACTCCTTCACAAATACATATTTTAGAACCTGTGTCGCAAACTGCTCGCAAGCACAAAATCCTAAGATGTTAAAGGTCTATGCCCAACCCTTAAAAACCAGCAGAGTTCATACAAGGATTTCATGGCTGTTGCTCTTCTGCCAGTTTCACACCCATGTAACTTCACTAGTTCCAGAGGCATTACTCCCAATATATACATAAATTTACATCTAATCAAGCCATCTCCTGTATACAATGTTGGATCTGGGGTTACACATGCATTGAAAACAGGAGTGAAGTACAGGACAAAGACAACTGAACCTTGCAAGCCCCCCCTGTGGTCTGTATGTCACAGTGCATGTGAAGCACACATTTCTTAAGAATTTGCTTTTCAAGTTTGTTGCCCACTGCAGAAGTCTCTTTAAAACTGCACAGGCCATGATGCACTGATGAAGTTTGAAAAAAATCACACTTCTAACTGGAAATGTTCAAGTTAAAAACTGCATACATGATATCCCACTATTAAATGCAGTAATGAGCCCTAAACTGAACCACTTCATAATGGCAGCAACTGCTGTGCTGGTGGCCATTACAGCTTTGCCAGTTATAGCACAGGTTAAAACCAAGCACTCAATGTTTTAGTCCACTCTAGCATGACACTGATACATTTATAAGCTCAAGTATAGGAAAAATCCAGTAACTGCCTACACAAATAGCAGACATTCCCTTGGTTCTGTAGTGCCTCCTCTTCTCAGTCACTACGCAGAATCCATTAAAAAATCCAGTGTCAGCTGCTTCTGATCTTGGGAGTCACTGGGGTTTTTGTTTGGCAGTTCTGAGTTTTCACATTTCCATTTAAAATATAGCAGACCACCAATATAGCAGGGATGGAAACATACAATTAAAAGTCAGACCTCACAGTCCTCATAAATTTACAGCATAGTTTTAAAAACCTCTTAAGGTGATGTTTGGGTTTTATTAAAAATGGAGGTAACATCAAATAAAAGCAAAACTAAAACAGAATAGGTAGAACATTTTATTTTTGTCAAACCTTAAATGTAAAGTATATTAAAAAAACATGGTTTGGAATTTCAAGAACAGGAATATAAACATGTATTTTCTATCCCAGAAAAAAAATCATGCAGGTGTTACAGTATTTGATCATTCTCTACATTCACTGGTATGCAACATCAACTTAATGTTATTAATAGATACAGAGATGCTGTAAATTGGTACAAAAACCAGGGTCTTCTGGCCTCACACTGTAGATGAAGCAAATCTGTTCTTTGGTAATTGGAGAAGGCTCATTTTCCATTCCAATGCAGGACTGTTAGGAGGCCATATTAGCCACTCAGCTCAGAAAATTACAACTCCTGTAGACAGTCTGGGCTACTTTTGTCACAAGAAAATAGTATTAGAGGTGGTATCAGAGGTATAAATGCAAAGTTAAAATTATTCGTTCCTTGTGGTGGCTTTTTCAGGGGAAAAAAATCCAAACTCTCTCCTCCTCTATTCATTGTTTAATCTAGGTAACATTTAGACTCATATGGAAAGATTTGCTAGATGGGAATGTACACATGCATACTTTCAGTTTAAATAAAGAGACGGGTGTGGAGAATGGTAATTTAAAGTTAACATGACTTGAGAGTACTCCTATAATAAAGTTTAAAGATTTAGTAAACTGGGACATTACAAATCCAAAAAAAGTGTTTCTAGATTTTTCATCTTCCCTTTTTCAACAAAGACCGACAGAATATACATATACAGGTTGACATTTTGATTTATCCAAAACAACTTTCACTTTGCTCAGTTTGCGAGTCCTACTGACTAAAATGTAGTATCATTCACAACGAAATATTTTCAGTAAGTGAAACGATAAGCAAAGAAAACCAAAACTAAGCTCAGAAGCTAAGTGGTTTAGAAAGCCTGGTAACACCTACGTGTGCGTCAGTGTGCCTATAATTTCTTTTTGTACATTATATCTCTAGACACACACACACATATATATAATATACACACCCGTGCGCCCACGCGCACACGCACACACACCTTTGTAACCTGCAGTGGAGACCAACCTATGTTCTAATAAGGAACCAAACACATCATTTAAAAATGTGGCTAATTTAACAAAACAGAGAAGAAACTGCTGCTATCAAAATATACAATTTGGATTGCAGACTAGAAGGCTAACAACATTAAAAAAATAGTTTTAAGCAAAACCCCTTTGCTTCTGAATAACAACAGGTATCGACCTGCCATAGCATGAATCATCCAAACAAGATTTTATAAAAAGTTTAAACTGTGACCCTTCCTCATTTGTAAAGTTCTTGACATCTCCTATAGTGCGAGCTCTGGTCTCCAAACTGGAGCCCCTTCCATTTTTCTCAATCCATACTTCAGGAAACAAATGGCAGCTGAAGGATTCAGAATCTCAAGTGTGATTTGTGCTTTACCATATACCTGAAAAAAATTATCAGAACACAATATTACTACCCTTGTGGCATTTATAGGAGTTTTACTCTCAGGAATAAAATGCATAGACATGGTTAAAACAGAATTCTTACAGAATTAGAAAGTTGCCAAAGAGATGCAAAGTCTTATGCACCATTTAGCTCTGTACTACGCACAGTATTTTTCCCACTAAATGACAGTCAGCTAAAACTTTGCCTTGAAGAAAATTCATGTTTTCCAAGGCATCACATGACTTCTAACATTGAAAGACTGTTGTTAAAGAGAACTAGTTCATTCTGGGAGTTGACATATATTGTTTATCTGAGACCTTTAAATAGGAAGCCATAGAAAGTTTGATGATTGGAATTATTTTGACAATTCCCACAGGATTTTTCTTTTGCACTCAATCATTCAAACAGTTTGCTGTGCACTTAACATGAAAAGATTAAACATTCATGAAATGCATAGGCTTCTCCCCTTCCTCGATATTTCTTCAACTGCTTCATGATAATAAAGTTTCTTCTCTACAACGTGAAAAAGGTATTGCAGTGAAATTCTGATTCAGGAGGGCTCTGAGCCACAGAGAAGCAGAGTCAGAAGCAAACCAGCTCTTCACAGAGCTGCTGCTGTTCCCCCACCCCTCACTTCCAACAAAAGGCAGGGCTAAATACTCAGGGGGCCCCTATTATACAGAAGAATAACCAGTCCAGAACTTATTACATGCCCTGTTTTTTTGAGTTGTTCTTCTACCCAGTGCTGTTGACTCAGAGGCATCAGAGTAAGACAACGCTTTGTGGCTCTTCATCTTAAGGTAGTTTGTCACCTTTTCTAGACTGTCACCTCATGAGGTGGAGACAGAGGAGGAGAGCTTGTAAGCTCAGAGCTGCAGTCCATGGGGAAGGCTGGGGATACAAGGGAAAACTCTAGAGCACCTGGACTGTCCTCCATTCCTTGCCTTCTGCCTGAAGGGAGGTGGGGAATCATGGCACTAATCAGTGATTAATGGTACCTGCCCTTCCTTTCAATACATGCTTATTACACTTTGGAGATGGTTATTTACAGTCTCTAAACATACACCATTATGTTCTATTATGTTCATCAGGGAAATTCAAACCAAGCAATATCTTCAAGCTGAAACACTCTTCAGATGTCTAAGTTGTATACAATTGCCTTGATGCCAGAACTCCAAACATCATAAAAGCGTGAGCATCAAGGATTTTCACCAGGACACATACCTGTCCAAAGTTTCCCAGAAGCGTAGAAATACTGGCCTGTCCAAGTGTCTTTTGTGGTAGCTTAGTTCTAACACTGTAACATCCCATTTCTGTACATTGGGATCCAGACGTACTTCATCATATTTGAGATGAAAAGCTTTAACTACAGGAAAAAGGAAAGCATTTAGAGTACAGACATGAAGACTTTACAGTGGTTTGTTATCAGTCGAAGAAAATTCCCACCACATCACTCTTTTTTTTCAGAATGAAGCCTGAGAGCAAAATTAATGAGCCCATAACCCAAGGAAGTCAACTAGTTCCTAAATGGCACTGAGCTAAATATAGTGGTCGGTGGCTCTCGTGCTATTACAGGTTTAAGTGAAAGGGCAGCCCCTATTTTTAGATGCACAGATTCCAGGAGAAAAGCAGAAACCCTTTGCCAATTCAAGTGCATTTTCTTTGAGAAACAAAGATGTTACTTCCGAAAATCTTCCAATTAAAAAAGGCTTTTCTGAGACCACTGAGAAGGAAGCCTGGCTACTTCCTGAAAGTCTGAGTAGAAGATTGATAGCAGAATGCCAGTGTAACCTCCCAAAGGCTACATGAACCATTCTGAGAAATTTAGTAACTGCCAATTTTCCCTTATCTAGGGCTCAGTTAAAAATGGTAAAATATTAACTGTTGTTTTTCTCTTGGGAAGTACTGTCATATGTGAATTATGTAAAGCCCAAGCATTTACACAATTAGCATTAAAAGCAAAGTATCTAAGTCTTGTACAATTCCTGTCTGGTAATCAATTTGATATTTTGAGTAGTATTGGAAAAGTAAAACAGAAGCATTTGAGCAGGCTTGTGGAAACTAGTTATTTTTAATGCCATGGTTGTATCATTTTCTAATACCACACTCTCAATTTTGTCCTCCACAGAATCCACCTACAGTTTCAGCTAAATGGCTAAAATAGATAAAAATAATTTTAAAAATCAATTCTTTTTTCCAGATCTATCTAGGAACTTCCTAGAAGATTGCCATGTGAAATTAGCTTTTTTTTTCAGCTGACAAACTAAAGAAATTATCATCTTGCTTGTACCTCTGCCAAATACATTTTCAAGCTTTGTGAATGAAAACCAAGAATACATATACATTATCTTTGCTATACAACATTGCATATATTCAAATAACTCCAGAGGAAACAAATTAAGATATACTAGGGCCATGCATTTACAGAAAACACCAAGAGAGCCTCTGCATAAAGTTTAAATGTTATTGAGCAGAAGACAATCCACTTCTGAATCTGAATCAAATCACTGTTAAAGCACATTAATGTGCTTCAGGAGTAAGACCTTTAAAATGGTATTCAAAATTAAGTATTTTTTCATTAAAGTGACATCATTCAAAATTTCATCTTAAAAATTTACTTGTAGTTATAAAATTAAGTTTATTTGCTACATGAACATTAAATACTCAGACTACCTGTAAAGAAAACTAAGGGAGAACAATTTTAGAGACTCAATTAATGAAATGCTATGTGACATAACAATTGAACAAATAAAAGCAGTTTGACAGGCTCTGACCCAATACAAATTTCATTGAGGAATTCTTTATGGTAAGCTACCTGCTTGTTTTCTAACATGACAGTGATAAGCTTTGAGTATTTGTTAATCAGTTGAAACCCAGAAGAAGAAATGCAAACTGCAAGTGAAACAATGAATGGCTGCAAATCCCAGAAATCACATTTATGAAGACTATTAAACACTATAAAAACAGCAAACCTTCAGGAAAAATTAAACACATACAACTGGACTGACATTGTCTGTGCTCCCTTCATTTACCTGTTTGCATTTGAGGGGTAAGTCACTAGGAAAAGTCAGAGATGGTCTGTCAGGAAAATATTTTAAAAATACCTTGCTTTGAAGCAACGTAATGCATTTCTAAAATTAAAATTTCAATGTATGCATTGAGTAAGACCAGATATACTTTCACTTGAAAAGCATAAAAATTTGCACACCTTCAGACTGAACTGTGCAGGCTGTGACTGAACTTCTGGCATAGCAAAGAAATGTCAATTCATGTCAGAAAAATTCCTACAGCCCTCCATACATTTATATATACAAAATGTTAGAGTTAATAGGAAGCAGCATGTGACTGTTAGCTAGACCTTAAATATTTCACTGCATTCCTCTTGGTTTTGCTTTTCACAATTCCCGTTTTCTCTGTATCTTTACTTTGAAGTGTTATTTTCTTCTTTTATTAGTCTCTTTTGTTAAGTTCTCTCCTGGGGTGTACATTTACTTTTAAAACGACTTTCAGGCTCTTTCACTCTTCCTTCTCAGTCTCATTCCCCCCTTAAGTGACTTATTCTATTTTCTTGTTCACAGACCCAATCTCAGCCTTCTGCCCAACTGTTGGGTTTTTCCATTGCTGCTTAGCAAACAATCTCTTTCCAGACTCTGCTTCACATACCAAATAGGTGCACACATAAAACCTGATAGAACTTGTTTCCTCATCACCCTGACAGGAAGATGACAGACTGAACTGAGGTGGGTTTTGTTTTGTTGGGTTTGTTTTTTCTTTTGCGTGTGTGCGTTGGTGGTTTTTTTGGTTGTTTGGTTTTTTTTTTTTTTTTAAATCTGTGGCTCAGAAACCACTGGACACTATCAAAGGTCTATTTTCTAAGGCAGTTCCACAGTGAAGCAACAGAGAAGAGAAACTGGCAGTTTGCTGAGATATTATCGCCCAGCTCACTGTCAGAGGAGTGAACTGTGCAGGGAAGTGCCTCAAAGCACACCAGGTACGGTGTGAGAACTCAAAAATACTGTTCAGATCTATACAGTGGTAACATCTAGCTCACTTTAAACTTTAAACTTGAGCTTTTAAAAACTTTAAAGGTTTTATCAGACACCAGATGATATTTTTAATGCCTTCTTAGTGGAATACCAGGTGATTAATCCTCTGTTCAAAGTAGCAATGAAGTGTGAAATCAGCCTGTAAACCTGTTCTCTATTGATTGTTAGAGTATGCATTGTCTGTTCACCTTTTATTTTAGAAGTTTGCAAAGTAAATTTGTACACTAGCTATTCCTGCCTCTTAAAGATGACAGCTCTGAGAAGATTTCTGTGAGCTTCCACAGGTCAGAACAAAAGAACTGCAGAGGGCACGTTAATATTCACTGTCTGTGAGCAGACCAAAGCCACTGCCTGCTCAACCACCCACATCCAACAGCACTTGGGAAGTACTTTGCCATAAGCGTAAGAAACTTTGCCCTCAAGAAACCCCAAGCACAAGACAAAAACCCCAAGACATCTAAACCCAAGATAACCCCCTTACTTTTTGCAAAGATATCGACAGGAGATCCATCAGGCAGGAGCCAAGGCCAGCCTTTGAACTGCCAAGCAGGACCCTGTACAAACACGGCCACCACGCGATCCCTGCGAACACAGAAAGGCACAGACATGTTGATGGCCTCCAACATTTCAATTACATGCTTTCCTAAACAGGCAATGTGCCTTAGCATGGCTTCTTAGTAACAGCAGTACAGCACATTTAACAACCACACCTCCAGCACAACAACCACTTTTCCTTTGTTAAGCGAAAAAAAAATAAAATTCATGTGGTTTTTCTGGACTTTCAGCTCTGTTCAACTTTGCAGCTCAGTTTCTCATGTTACAATTTTAAGAAGTCAAACAGTGTTTATTTGTGGTCATTAATATTTTGCTTTTTTTAAAAAGTGCTCCAACTTTTTTAGAGATAACAGCACTGTAAACTGAGGTGTGTCGATTTAAAAGCCTTTATTCTCAATACTGCCCGCTTCTAGTTAAAATTTCTGCAAAGTGCATCATCTATTCTAAGAGTACATAACCACTACCTGTGGTCTAAGAAAATATATTTGTGATTAATATGAAGCTTTTACATTATTAAAATTTAACACTCCCCCACCTTTGAGAACAAATGACTTCCCAAATATGGTCTGTCTTTCTGTTGAGTGTTTACATCAACCAACCATGGTTCCTATTTCCCACAACAAATAACTACCTCTCTAATTTAATCCCAAATTAATTCCTTATAAAGTCCACCAAATGCCAAATGGAAAAGAATAATCAAGGTGGAGTTTTGATATGGCTCCCTTGGATAAAACCAATATAAAAAAATCCCCACACCACTTCATATCTTGGGTCAGAAGCACTTCAGATCAAGTTGAGATGGTTCTTAGAGGTTTGATCATTAAACATTGTAAGTGCTATTTGATATTCAGAATTTCAAACCCATAGATTTCTGATTAGTTCAAGCTCTAATGACAGAGAACAATTAATTTAGGAACAAGACCTTTTGAAAGTATTCCCCTCCATTAAAATCTAATGTGGAAGTTACAAAACCACCAAATATGTCATCATCCATGTCTAAAATCTCCACACTTGTGAGGAAGAAAAATGCTGCACAATGCACTGCATTAAATAACAAGAAGATCTAAAACAATAAAAATATGCTTCTCCAGAATTTTCCTCCTCACTGAGAACTATTTTTCACAGCACTGAGAAATGTGCTACAGACCAAATCATCCGTTTCCAGCTTTTTAGTAAAAGTAAAAACTATCCATGATTCCCTTTCCCCAGCTAGGGCTCTGCCTTCAAAAGTAAACTTCCATCAATGATTTCAATTCAATGAATTCTATCCAGTACTGGAATCACTGTTCAGCCTTTACTGTCTGACATATTTTCTTTCTTTAACTATTAAAAAAGTTGAAATGTCAGATGCTGAAGGCCTGCAAACATATCTTCCCAACAGACTTTCCTTCAGAGAGCAGATACGAAAGAAGGGTTTTTCTCCCAGATCATGGTTCAGTGACTTGCACATTTACAGTATCACAGACCAGAAAAATAATATGACCATTTCTATTTGAATTTCTGGAACATTTCAGGCAAACCTTATCAAATTAGTTGTGCTGCTCTCACTGTTAAAATGTACAGTGTTGCAAGTTTTTAAGACCTTCTAGATGAGTTCAGTTTCATACGATTTTCACCTAAAGACTCCCAAGCACTTAAACAAATCTGCTCTTATATCTGTATCTTTGCTTTTTAGTGCATTTCATAGTGTTTTATCAGCCCCCTCCAAATTCTGCATTGCCCTGGTAAAGGAATTTTGCAAAGCAGAAATGTACTTACCAGTCTTGTGGCATAAGTTTCAGAGGTTGGTCTACGACTCGATAAGGAACAGTAACGCTGACTGTAGTTCCCCCCGGCTGCATCTGGTCCTTCCTTCTCTGTATTAGAGTTTCATTCTCTCGTTGACAGCCTTGTTTCTTCTTTTCATCTGATGGTACAAACCTCAGGGAATAACAAAACACTCAGTAGACAGGGGCAATTTACTTGATGGACTCAGCACAAAAAGTAACAACTTGATGAGAACTTGGCATTATTGACAGCAATCACTGGAGCCATCTCATCTTCACTGCTCTAACTCTCCATTGCTACTCACTTAAAACAGCAAAAAAAAAAAGTAAGAATACTATTTCACAAGCCTTTATGATCAAAACAGTCATACTAAAAAGTCCTCAGCCCTTCAAAAATACAGCCAGACCTGTTCTTATACATTCACAGCACTCCTTGTTGAGCTTACCCAATACATTTGGAGATGAGGACCCAGACCACAACCTGCTAAATGACTATAACTCATTCTTTTTAGTGACCAAGGGTAACCTGGGCACTAAAACAATTGCTTCCTGGGACGAATTTTAAGAGCTCTTGGAGCCTTCCGAATTATGTTTTCTGAAGAAAGCTGGGATTTTTGGTCAAAAAGGTTTTTTTAAGTAAGATTTTCTTTTGAAGATGATGATTTTACATTATCAATTATTCATCTGATGTATGATACTATAATTTTTTTTGTTTTCTAAATAGCCTCTCTGATAGAATAAGTGCTCAGAAAATACAGATGTGATCCCCATGTCATATGTAATCTCTGTATGACAAAAATAACTGCTTAAGATATGACACACCGCCTCCAATTAATTACAGATCTTTAATCTTTCAGCCCTCTCACCTTAAAAACCAAGTGCAATCCCATTTCAAGCCCCTGTTCTTTATGGTGACAATCAAATACACAGAACAGGTCTCAAAATTGGCCACATAAACATGAAGCAATGTAAGCCTTTTCACATATAAATGTCAGTGGATTTTGTCATAAGAAAGATAACAGAGTCATGTATTTTATAGAACTAAAACTATGCCACAGAAAGAGAAGTTGATGTGACCGGTGTCACCCACCAGGTCAGCAAAAGAGTGGAATTCAGACCCCCTTTCTCCTAACTCTCCACTCAGAACCACCCTCTGCACCGAAACACTGCTGACATTTCATTTCCAAAGCTTCTGATAAAAACAAAACAGTGTTTCACTTAACTGCAGTAGTTATCAACAGTACTGGTGCTACATTTTAAAAAGCACAGTACCTAATTGGTAATATTTCTCTTCATTACACCACACATGGTGCTTTGGAGCAGTTTACTACATTTTTTGGTTGTTTGCACCAGATTTCTATTTGTTCTCTTCCATCTATTTCTATTTGAATACTAAAACCCAGTTCAAATGTGCTTTAACAGGCAGACTGCACTTCCTATTGCTGGAGAAATGGGAAAAAGAATGCAAAATTAAATATGAAGATTAGTTCATTATTCAGTCAGCTTGAAAATACTAGTTTTCTTTATATATCCAATGAGAAAACAGCATTTTGGGGAGAAAATGCCATTTAAACAAACATGTTTTAAGGCAGCAGGTGAAAACTGCCAATAAACCTTCAGGCAAAACTGTTTTACTTTTCTAATCTAAATGAACAGATGAAGCCCCCTTACACTCTTGATGATTTAACAGTGTTTCACAAAGTCACAAGCAATTTCCAAAGTGTGGGTCCAAACGCCTGCAACTGATACAACTGCAGGAGGAAAGTAAAAAAAACCCAGATGACTGTGAATGGTGCACTAAAGCTGACCAGTATTGCAACTGCAGGAAAAGCATTACAGGTGTTAAATGATGTGCTGTAAACTAAATTATGCTTATCTGTCTAGTACATGTGTGACACCATCATTGTAATGGAAATAGAAACCAGAAAGCTATACAGGACACTGGGGAAAAGTACACTTTGGCTACCCAGAATATTACTGCAAAAAAGTTAAAATAATAATTCCCCCAATAATTGAAGTAATTTGAAAAGAGTTAATATTTACATATACTTTCATCTATCACATTTGACTGACATGTACAATTGCACACTACACAGAAGCATTCAATACAGTTCTGCTTTGGAAAAAGCTACCAAATGTGACACCAAAATTGAAGTGTTTCTAATCAATTTGCTAATTTAAAAACTCAAAAGCAAGGTGCACCTTTAATCAGGAGCAAACCTACTGGCCTGTCCTGCCAACACGTCGCAGGCTTTGCTTTGCCAGTACTAACAGGAAACTATTTTATAACTTAAAATGAGGATTTTCTTGGTGGTCTTCAGCTTTTAAGAAAACCATTAATGAGTCGCTCATCACCCATTAGAACTAAAGGAATCTGTGCTGAAAGGAATGGAAATAAAAAGGTTTTTTTAAAATAATTTTAAAAAATTAGAAAAGCAACCCCTCAAACACCTTTTATCCAAGTGGCAGGGTTTACAGGAAAAACCAGGATCACCTAAAATGGTGGACATACCGAGAAGAATTTTGTTCTTCTGTGTCACATGCACTAAACAAGAACAAACTCTTACAGAATATGTAAATAAAAACCAAACAGCCCTACTTACATTACAGTGATAATCAAATATTCATATGAACAGGGATCTAAAAGGTCACATTTTAAATTTAATTTGTAAATATGAAGAAGCAAAAACATTTTAAATGGAAACAGAAAGGTTAGGCACCCCTGCCAAATTAGACAAGAAGCAATACTGCTCTTCTGGAGTCTAACAACTTCACCACTATATCTGAGACCTCTCAAATTTGGCTGAAACAGGCATTCTCAATTCTACTTCTAGCTTCAAATGTTTCTGTGTTTAAGAATTCATTTCAACACTAGTTTATTGGCAGTTTCTCTCAATTTCAGCTGGAAATAGTGTTACAGCCATTAAGGTACCATTCGGTTGTGCCTCAGTTATTTACCTTCTAGACACCTGCTACAGTTTTATTTCCTGTAAAATACTGAATATTTCAGAATCCACTTCTCTAGGACACAACACAAAATATCTTGTAATCCGAAATTCCTGAAGGAAAAACTATCAATCAGCTGATTCACATGGAACAGCAGAGAAGATGACTGTCATAAAGAAAGCATTGAAGCAAGAGCTTACATATATGTAAACACACAGAGAACAGGAATAAAGGACAGCTCTCAGAAACTTTACAAAATACCTGCTTGCATTTCTGGGAACCATCGATTCAATAAGTAAAAAATCACGTGCTTAAGAGCCAAGAATCAATAGAAATTACTGTAGGATTATAAACTTAATCATGGCCTATGCCATCACTACCTGGACATAAAACACAAGCAAGCTTAAGAAGTGTGAGTATTAAACACCCAAAAAAAAGTCTTCCCTTGGAAATTATTTATATAATTATTATGTAGTACTATAGCCAATGGCTTAACTACACATTTGTACTTGACATGTTTTTAATCATTCAATACACTAGAAATGTATTCTGAAACCTGACTGTGCAGGACAGTTTCTTGTGGCTTCTCTGGATTACTATTCCCTAGTGGAAAAAACAAAAAAAAAAAGAAAAAAATTCCCTATCTACTCTGAAGCACTTTTATACTCCTATTAGGAAATTAGAGCACTCCAATCTCTTGCTGTTAATTGCCAAAATCATTACCCACATAAAAATGGTGCACTCTCACTTTCCAAAGACAGGAGATCCCTTTCCTAAGGTAACAGGCAAGTGATTGAACAAGATCAAATTATGGCAGGTAACTGGCAAGATATAATCCCCTGAACTGCCTGAGCTGCTCATACCTCGGCTCTAAACTCACATCCATTGGCAACATTAACTTTAGAACACTTTCACTGAGGTCAGATCAGCACTTTCTGGCCCCCAACTCAGGCACATTGAAAATTGCATGAAGAGAGAATAAGGCAACTCCAATGTTCCACAGTAACCAAGCTCATCATAATACCCATTTGGTTGTGTTCAGAACTAGAGACTTATTTTTACAACCCTCTCAGTATTTCTGTTATGTTACAGTATCAAAAGCTTTATACACCTATTTTTGCAAGAGAACAAAGCTCATTTTTTTGTAACACATCATCCCTGAATCTATCCCAGATACTCTGCTCAATATCAAAGCTGGATAAAACTCCGTGAGTTGCCACATATGGTGAAAGGCATCACAAGTAAGAGCATCACCATAATGAAAATACATGATCATCATCTAATCATTCACATCTCCCTGATGTCATTCCTGCTTCGCCTTTGTTCCATGTAAAGCCGAAGCCCTGCCTCTGAAAAGCCTGACTTCAGATATTCTCAAATACTTACTCTGGAAAGCCAGATTTTACACAATAACTGTGATATCCAGTGTTGCATTTAGCTAGTGAATAAGAGTAAAGCATATTATATAAAATATTTTAAGAAGCTTCATAATATATTAGAACGTATTGCAGTGCTGATTTTAAGTTAAATTATATCTTTTTACTATTTTAGAAACTTTTCATTTTATGTTGTACTTGGCTCCTTCGAAAAATAACCTTTCAAAAAAAGTTATGAAAAATATTTGCTTATTACACGGCACGTGAATTGTATAGATTACAATTATATACAGAAATATCCTCCTTAAAGATCGAAGTTGCAACAAATACATTGAACAGAAAAATTAGATATCTTAAAAAAAAATAACATCTTATATCAGTACCATGCTTTGGGTTTGTCATTATACACATTTCATTCTACACACGATAATTTTCCTGCTTTCCATATTCTCTGCCTTAAAAGAGCATAACATTAGTGATAAACTGAAGATGTTAAGCATACAAATGTCAGCCAAATCTGGCATGGAAAAAACTCTAATATATTACAGAGCTATGAAAAGGCTTAGTAAAAACATTGGTACAACTAACAGGTTTCTTTCAGTTCTTAACAACTGAATTTAAGGCCTACCATAGTACTGGATGAAGACTCTCCTGTTTATTTTATAACCATCAACCTAAAATATCTGTCAGTGATACCACAGTTAGTTGCTCTCATATCCAAAGTGACAATGCACTGCACTCCAGTTACTTATAAAAAAAAATCCAGCACTGTAGACAAACACTATCCTAAAAGACAGAGATTCCCAGCTATGACTAAGTTTTGATTTTAAGTGGTTTGGTCTCTAACTATAATTTCAGGTAATTCTTTTTCTTATTTTGTTTTAAGAAACATTTAAATGGATGGAATCACGAAAGTTGCTTTATTTATGAAACCCAAATACTCCTTCTTTATGATCACACACTTCACAGAAGTCTGTTGCCTCACGGATCAGACATGGAAGAAAAACCCATCCTATAAGCAGCTTCCATACCCTGACCATCCTGGGGGCATCGTTCTCCCAGGCTTCTCCTGCTTTTCTTCACAGTCTCCCCTGCAATGGCTCTTCCCGTCCAGCTCCAAAAATCTCTTCTCCTTCTGCTATATCACCGATCTCCTCTGATGGCAACTATAAGAAGGCTGACTACCTCTAGAAATACAAGAAATGCAAATCTACCTTCATCTTCCTCAGCAGGGGTAAGGGAGGGAGTAATAACTTAGGTGTGTCTTTTCTATCTGGACAATATTTCTCTATTCCTTGTGGCAATGACAGGAGTCTTTGGAATCTCTACTCTTCTGTTAAATTTAGCCATAAGTGGGGAATGAGTTAAATAAAGTGGTGACTTAAGAGGCAGAAATTAGTTGAGTCTTTTTTCTTTGGAAAACCATCACATGTCTATCAATCACTCTCTACATCAAGACTAGTTCTACACTCTGCATACCTGAACAGTAAAATAAACCCTGAAGCCTTTCCTAAACAAAGCACTTCAATAAATCTGAATGTAACAAAATACAGCCTGGGTGGTGTATTTCCTAGAAGAGCACTAGAACTGTCATGGCTAAATTCATATTTTGCTCTTCTGAATTCTGCTATTGCCCTTCTGATCCATTAACATACCTTGCTTCTTCGCTTTCTCTTTCATACTGGTTAACTACATCAGTGTCCTCCTTTGAACCCTTAACTTCATTTCCTTTTTTTTTTTCTGGATCATGTTCACTGCATTCTGACTATCAGCATCCTCACGGGACAGGTCTTCAGAAGTTAACTGCAACTTTGCCCTGGTGGAGCTGAAAACAGCTGAAAACTGTGTCTCCTGGCACAGATGTACTCACACATGACATACAGGTGCCTTATTCCTTTCTAAGTATTCCTATACTAGGCATATGCATGGATGTATACCTATATATATATAGACGTAAAATCCAAGGCTTGTTGCAAATTTTTTTCCTAAATGTAAAAACCCACATAAACAAACAACGTCTCTGTCAACCCAATTATATCAGTCCAGTGACTGCTTGCACATTATTAAACTGTAATGTTAAAAGCCACCCTTCTCTCCAATTAAATATTTCAGAGCAGACATCAACAGTCCAGTACTTCCTGCATCTTCAATGGTATGTGGCAGTAAGCTGGGAACTACAATTAGATCAGAAGAAGGCGCCTCAAATCTCACAGCACGGTTTTATAAAATCTTAGGGCAACTCCAGTGGAAGGCAAGGCACCACAATAGGACAGCCTGCTTTTGAAGAAGAGCAGTTTTACAGCCTCAGAAAAGATGAGAGCAGGGGGAGATAAAAAGACAACCCCTCCATTTTTTGAACGTACCATTCCGGACAATCTGTAACAGTGTATTTCTCTGGGAAAATGACTGACTGTTTCAAAAAAATCAACTGATATTTACTGATAGGCAAGTCTAAATGCCATGATCTGTTGGACAAGCAGAAAGATTCACTGAGCCATAATGAATTAAATCTTAGAATCAGATGTGTGATGCAATAATCAAATTTTAGCAAGATTAGCAAATTTTAGCAACTCGCTGGTATTTCCCTGGATGAATTTGCATCAATACTTCATGACAATATGTGAACTTGAAAAAAAAATAGGTCTTTATTTATACAACCAGCTGAGCTGCTTGGCTGATACAGCCTGATACAGACCCTCCAGTCACTGTCTTCTTTATACTAACTGTGGTCATTTCCCAAAATCTTTTCTGAGCTCCAGGAGCACACTGCTCCTCTTCTCTAACCCTTCTTCTATTGTAAGGGGTCATGGATTGATACCTTTATGTTACATAAAAGAAAACCACTGCAGACATTGGAACTGATATTGCAAGACTGTCTCCTCAATCTGCCCATTGGGCCCAGAGATCATAAATGAGCCAAAACTCTGAAAATAAGTTTTTGCTTTTTTCCTGCTAGTCAAAAGGAATTAATTTCTTTTATACTCTGGTCTGTAAAACTAGCTTGTCACAGGAGAGTAGATGAACCCTCTTGCTTAATTACTAATTAGGTACTAGTATAACTTGGTATCTGAAAACAATTTGTTATACAGTATGTTCTAATCAGCTACTTACTTCAGATCTTGCAGAAGGTCCTTTGCATTAAGCATTGTTATTAAAGAGGTCGTGGCTGCTGGAATAATGATTATGGGAGTTCGAGACCCTGTAGAGATAATAAAGTTAGACTTGCCTGGGGGTTTTTTTGGTATGTTTTGGTTATTTGTTTCCCCCCCACTTTTTCATTAAAGGAGCTGGACATAAAAACAGAATTCTTGCTTAACAGGTCACAATCTTGGAAATATATTCAAGGGAAATGGTATCAAAACTTTTCTAAACTAAAGGTTTTCATTCACAAAAGAAGCATATCATTATATCATGAGTCTCTAAGTAAGGGTAGGATCCATATTTAGCAAAACAGAATGCTGTGTGCATTCCTCTGCTTGTTTATGTTGTTGCTTGTGGTTCCAGGAAAAAAAAAAAGAGAGAGCACAATTTACATGAAAATAAAAAGGATCATGTAACAAAAATTGACTCACCTTTTTTCTGGTTTGGAGGTGGTCTTGCTTGAGAAACTGAAAAAAACCCAGAAAATAAGGCAGGATGACTAAGACATAGATACAAATGTGATTGTAAGGCAACACTTCAATGTGTTTAATTGCAGGAGGGAACAAGAATCACACTTCAGTCATTAGATCATTTCCACAGATGCAACACACTAAGTTGAAGAAGGGATTTATAATTTGGGTCTGAGTATTCAGCAAACAAACAGCTTTTGACCATCTGAAACAGATGTTAGGAGAGTTGAGTCAATCTCTCCTGGTTTTTCTGAAGGCAGTCATCCATCTCCATCCTCCATAAAAGGTTGGGGCACAATAGCACTGACAAGAATTGCCACAATCTTGAAAAAAACTGCTTGTAGATCTTAAGTTCAATAGTGCTGAACCAACAGGAAAACCGTTTCACAACAACCTGATCTTTACAGACCCTCACCTTTTCATTAGCAGTTATTATTGTACATGACATCCACAGGATTTAGCTACCCTTAACACATAGAGAACGTTCAACAATCAAAATCTGAATTTCAGGCTTACTCAGGTTAATTCTGGATTGCAGTTTGAGTTACATGAGCTCTTTGGGTGCCAGAAACAGTTAAATTTGACAGATATGATGGCACTCAAGAAGAGGAAAAAACCCAACCAAACAAAAACACACACTCCCCCCAAACCCAACAAAAATAACCCTCAACCACCAAACAAAACCACACAAACAAACTCTGTGGGACAGACAGAAACTGAAGAGCTCTCCCCCCACTTCTGTGATAAAATGATGCCACCTCAGCCTTTCAAGTTGTGACTGCTTCAGTACAGGGGAGACAAGCAATTCCAAAGTTGGAAAAGCATCTGAGTTTCTTCACTTTGGTGCCACTACTGAATTACCTGACTTCCCCCAAATAAACATATTATAGTTCAGTTTTCAGGAGTCCTAACTTCAGGAAAGAACTGTTGTGCCTGATGATCACCATCATACATGTTTATCCTAATTCAAAAAAATCAGAAAATGGTGAGCAGTAGAAGGACTGATGCAGACTAACTCATGTCTCAGTTGCTACTATGCATGACAAATTTCATTAATTGACTTCCAATTGCATAGCACCAACTTGCTCATGTTTATTTATGACCAACTGTTTCAGAAACTTCCTAGAAGAGTATAAATATTCACAACACATAGTTGCCATTGTTGAAATATTGAGACCATATCCTTAATTATCTTTTCCTGATACTGTCAAATGCACAGATATAATCGGCAACACTATATTGAACTACGTGAACTTTACCTACTCAATGATTTTTACTTTTTTTTAAAATCTAGGTATCTCCTTAATGTAAAAACATCCCTGAAATATATGGGCAGTAACAGCTGCCCTAAGAAAAAAAAAGAGAAAAAAAAAAAGGAAAGGGAGGGAGAATAAATATCTGTAAGAAATTTAATAGTGGTACCAAGACAGGTTAGTAGAAAAGTTGGTACTGTGAAATACTGCCCCCCCCCAAAAAAAAAATCTTACATCAAAAGCACATCTCAGACATATTTTCCAAATCATTACTGCACAACTGTTTAGCCCAATTTAACTAACACTTCTTATATGCAAAGCAGCATCCTCCTGGAAACAGCATGTTTTAGTTACTTTGACTGCTAAGAATGGAACAGCTGAATGTTTTAAAATATCCTAGAATGGGCAGAAAAATAAACCTTTTCTGACTACACCTCTCTTCTTTATTCCCCCTTCAACTTCCAATATAGAGGCAAGAAAATGGACTGGATTGGCCTTAGAGAAGGGCAGTACCAGTATAACCTGTATAACATACAAAAACAAAGCTTCTGCCAGTAACTGCCCATGAAGTCACAGCCAGCAGCAGGGACTGTGACAACTCAGTCAGATTTCTGTTCTTGCCACTGCTACCCTTTTCATACTGCTGTCAACTCCATCTGCATTATGATGCTTAACGGGGCTAGCGAGATAAGTCTGACAGGCAGCATGACCTTCCCAGTACCAAAATAACCAAACAGAAGAATCTGTGCACAACAGCATTTAGGTATGCTGAAAGCATTCAATATTAGAATAGATTTTTGGGGAAGAATCAGCTTTACAGTATTAAGTCTTAGCATTAAATCCTGCTAATAAATCTCAAGGAATTAGCAAGGCACACACTGAAAGCATTTAGAGTCTCAACAGGAATATACAGTATTCCACCAGTACTTCTAGAAAAAGCATATTCATTTTAACTGGTAGCTTGGTTTCCAAAACCTCCCCAAAATGTCCCCACTACCTTCATAGCATTGTCTTGTTCTGAAATAACACCTTTCAATTGAGACTTTCTTCCAGCAAGCCAGAAATTCTCATAGTACATAAACCAGGTGCAGACCTGCCCGTCGCTTTTTGGAATCGCTGCTTGTCTCATGTACTGTCTGTGCTCTTACACTCTTCTAAAAACTCTTCCTAAGGGTTTCTTTTTAAAACAAAATACTTTCATAATTCTATCACTGAATCACAACTTGAGATTCAATCTGACAGACAAATGGACTTGGTAGCCAAAAGTTACTAGCTGGAAATTAAAAAGCCGGTTGAGGATTCGGGTCTCATTACAAATACCTTATGTGCCAAGCAGGGTGAAGAAGTAATGATAACACATTCAGAGAATTACTTATTTCTGATCTATTAATCACAGAAGTAATAATATATCTCTCTTTGAGATTAGCTATTCTGTTTAGGTTGTTTCTCCTTGAAGTATTAACCAGCTGTTATTAGATATCTGAGCTGAAATTCAGAAATACCAAGCCCACAAGCAGGAAGTTTGTGACTTTTAATTTCATTAGTGCATCCTTTCAACAGGCTGATGGGGCAACACGCTGAAGAGAATGAACCCAAGTCCCACAGTGTCACATTAAACAAAAGGTTATGCACTTTTTCCAACACATGCACTGTTAAAGACCACAAATAAATGACCCCCACTTCATTCCCCAGCTGTGGCTTTCAACAGCATTGCTTTGAAGCTCAGACCTCTCTGGAACAGAAGCACAAAGGACAGGAGCCACCTTACCTGGGCGTGGCACAGGCTGTGCTGCCGGAGTTTGTGTTTTTCGAGCAGATGCACCTTCCTTTAAAAGACAGAAGAGGTAACATTAACAGCTGACCTCCTAGTCAGGTACATGGGTTTTTCAAATGAACACAGAGCTATAAAGGGTATCATGAAAAGGAGGGCAATATGTTTCCATTAAAGGGAAGAAAGAAAATAATTATTCCAACTCTTTATAGATTCTGAGACTTGAGGAGGACAGACAACCTCATAAGCTCTTACAGGTTTACATTTTAAATATAAAGTGCAGCTCATAAGCTTTTTTTCCCTCTGTACTCAAAGAAACCTCTCCCATGTATAGTATTGGGTTTTTTTACCTACAAACACCAAGGGTTAGTAACATAAATGCCAGCAACTGGCTGTAGAAATTTCAAAACAAGATGTGCTTATGCTCTGGATGGAAAACCAGGATCAAGAAATTACAATGCATTCCTGCCTTGAGGAGTGTTAGTGTCCAGAAATAGCACTCCATGATAATTAGTTCTGCTCAGGCCTCATCCAATTACCTTAATGTAACACACAAAAGACCTGCACTATTGTTTGTTCTTGTCAACTCCGCAGAGTCAACACACCAACAAAGAAAACAGTGAAGTCACACATGTCTGGTTCCAAAGCAACACTGAATTCCTGCAAGAACAAATTCTGCTCTCAGTTACTGCTGTAAAACCTCACTGAACAAAACACGTCTCACTAACAGTGGAAAAAGCTGCTATATAATCCAGCCACTTCTATTTGCAAAGCCGACAGAAAACCTTTTAACGTGAAACCACGAATTTTATCTGAAAATTACTTAAACACTATGTGAAGTGTATCCTAGAACCATGAGACACTCAGAAAGGTCAGAGATCCCACTCAGGGAAAAACCTGTTGGAAAGGTCTCCAGTATGGCACTATCCCATTTCTATGTCCCCGCATAACAAACAGCATGTGCTTCGGAATCCAAAATAAAAAAAGCTGATGAGCAGGATCAGGTTCCATGATTTAAATAACACTTAGAAGAATTGCTTTTAAGTTTCCATCATGAAAGTTGAAACTCTTTTTATCTCAAGATCCGTGAAGTAGGAACAGAAATCCCTTGACAAGCTCTTAGAAAACAAATTTACTCCAAACCTCTCTTCTCTAAGCTTTAGTGAAAGCCACCCATGATTAGTTACAATAGGCTGGAGCTGATATTTGGTACAGTGCACAGCTTTTGTAACTTTTACAGGCAGCAACCTCTCATTAATCTTCAGTATAAGGATTTAACCCTACACTGCAAGAAATGGATTAATCCCAAATTTTTCTGTACTCTTTTCCGATTATTAAAATACCAACATTTATGTAGGGCAGTTGAGTCAGTACCTGTTATTTTAAGACTTACTTTTTTAGCAGCAGAGAAAAGGTATTTTTGCCAATGTCCTTTCACAATAATTACTCAGAAAATGATAAAAATGAAAATACACTCTAAAGGAAGAGTAGCAGGAAAGGCTGACTACCTTTAAAAGAAGCCTTGCAACTGAGAAACAGCACCTTTCTTTCAACTTCCACTTCTCAAAAAAATTGACGTAAAACATTTTGCAGCTCTTTCTGTAGAAAAAATGCCATTTTCTGTGTCAAAACAAACCGAGAATTCCCCCAAAACATTTCCTAAATTCACAGCACTTTATGAAATGTAAAGAAAATCATCAAGCTAAAGAAACTCCACTTCCTGTAACGCTAAGTTTCAAGTTTTTAAATTCAGTTCAGTTTGCATGGATGCATAACTATTATTGCCTGCAGTCCACACGGCCATTCCTCTTTCCATCCCTACACAATCAGCAGGGCAACTTCTCTGCCTCCTCTTCCACTTATCCACGTCTCAAAGAGACCCTGCAGGTCCTATGGCAGCTGCAACGAAGTGAGAGAACAAGGAGCTGCTTCAGAGATGATAAGAGTTTTTGAAAACTCTTGTAAAGAATTATAACCAAGTCAGAACCAAAGCCTTACTTTGGTTTCTCTATGACTTGAGCCTAACAAAATAACTGGCAAATTATCTATTTGGGAGTTTTTCATACTCTCCCCTGAAGTGCCTTCTCTACAGTGATTAACTGGAAACTTAGTGCAGAAGCCTAAAACCAAAAAAAGCAAAGCTTTGAGAAGATGGCAACTGAAGCAAACAAAAATACCACTCCTGAAACAACAGTAAAGTACATTAAAAAAAAATCACATAAAAATATCTGATTAATGGTAGGAAGTAAATTCATTTAAATGAGTAGATACCACTTCCATGTCTATGACTATTCTATTTCTAAGAACAAATTCTGCAAATCAATAAATTACAGAGATCACAGCTTTTAGCTGTATAAATTGGTGCCTCAGATGATGATAATTTCAGGAATGAACCTTGCTCAGCTCACAACTGCTACTATTCTGGCATCTTGGCACAGAAGCTCAGCTGTCACCTACTGAAGGTGTAACATCCATCCTTTGTAGCTGATTTACATCCCTTCTCTCTTTATGATTTTCAGTGACCTAACAACCACCTCCTATTTTGGAAAAATTGCAGACAACACAGCAAAAGAAACTCTGAGCAGTATTTCACCCCCACATTTCTTAAAAGGTTTGTAAGGAGAAATGTACACTCTTAAGATGAGGAAAAAATAGAAGTACAGAGCTGTGATGGTTGACAAGATACACCAAGTAGAGAAGAAAACTTGCTGTCGATAAGGAAGCCACAATCAGGATATCTTTGTTAATATTTTCCTCTGACCTGCTAAGTCTGAATAAAAAATTAATGCTTTTTCCAAAGCATTCAGATAGAGGTATAGGTTTTTCCTATGACAACACACTGGTGCAAGGCAGGTATAACCAGAGAAATACACACTAGGATTTCTCCCAAAGAAAAAGAGTATTAATCTGACAAACTTCATACTTGGTTCATTTAAATACTCAAAGTAGGCGCTGCTGATCATTTGTGGCCTTTGTCAGCTACTCAGAAGCAACTTATGTTTGATTGCTCAAACTCCCTGTAAAGGCAGCGGCTTATTTCTCACTGAGTGCACAGTAAGATATTTAAAATCTTCTAATGTCAAGTTTTTAATCTAAAAGTTACTCTTAAGTAACCAGCTCACAGCAAAATTCAAACTCCAGCTAGGGGAGCTTTTGTTTGTGCAGCTGTACCCTAAGCATCACAAGCAGCAGAAATCACTGTTTAGCTATTTAAAGAACATTCATTTCCTCAAAATTTCTGAATACTTAACAGTTTTGCTCGAAAATGACATACCTAATTCTTATGCATAAGCTGTTTGAGACTCTTAAGGAGTATATTATGAATATTCATAAGTCAAAACTAATTTAGGAACAAAACCATGTAATTTGAAAAATACAAATCTTCTTTAAGACAACCACTTAACATCGTATTTTAATCAAAAACGTATTACTTGGTTTACTTGAGCTAATTTACCATAGAAGGTTATATATATATAGTTTACTTATGATTTACACTAAATACGTAAGTATTTAACCATTCAGAAGCAACAACCTGACACGGAATGTAATCAGGAAAACAGATACCGAAAGCTTCAGACTTTCCTGAACTTCACTGCATCCCTTCCCTACATTGCTGTGCTTGCTGTTCTCTGGGATTCATCCCATCCCAGTGCTCCTGTTTCCTGTTGTACCAGACACCTACAAAACGACTGCTCAAGAATTGGTTTTGCCTGGTTTTGCCTTCTGCTATTTCGCACTGTCCTTCCTGACACCGAAAAATATTGGGTTCACCAACCAGTGCATGAACCCCAGTTCAGACCATGGGGTTAGTACATCTGTAGCTGGATTTAAGTTACTCAAGAGTGGGTGTTGGTTTGGTTTTGGTATTTTTTTTCCTTTCTTAAACACCTTTTAAAACCTTCTGGAGTGTTTTTTGACCCTTCTAAAAATAATATTAATTTTTTTAAAAACGAATTGTTTGTATTAATTTGCAAAAATCACCAATATCCATCTGATACCAGGACTCAACTAGTATTTTCCTATATTTTAGGGGGAAAAAAAATCTGTATTTTAGATACCCAGTACTTTTCTTAGATCTAAATGTACATTAACATCCACAGTTAGGTTACTTTGACTTCCCAACTGGAATCAGAAATTGCCTCCACATAATTCAGGCTACATTTTAGAAAATAAACCCTTATGTTTTAAGCCAAACTATTACAAGTATCTTAGTGAGGCTTCACAGGTTGAAATAGTGGCAGAAAAAAAAAACCTATTTCATTGCACATTGCCTCTCCCAACTGGTTTTTATAAAGAGATTCAAAGAGTATGCAGTATTTTGACCTGTAAAAAATGTTAGGAGCAACAGATAGAGTTGACAATTTGATGCCATCTTGTGGCTTTTTAATTTAGCAAAATTTAATTTCTACCTTGTTCCTTTATAATATTTAAGTTAGTACAAGAACTTTACCCAAAATTCGAAAAATTATTAGGTAACTTCCATGTTCCTGCACAGAAATAGTACAAGTAAAAAGTAAGATTTGATTCTGCAAAAAGTACTAGCAACTGCTTGCATGTAAAACATAGAGCAGCTTCAGCCTCACCATCCATCATGGAAGACAATTCACCCAAAGATGATTCTGTTTGTAAAGATGAATGTAGTAAAATTTGGATCTCAAAAGAGAAAGACAATAAGTACATATGGATAGTAAGCTTGTAAAATTATCTTTAAGAACAGACTTCAATTTAGGGTTCAAGAGACTGTAAGAACTCAATTACCAGCAACTATATTATTATTTCCTGAGTGATTTAAAGTACTGAACCTTTGAAAGTTCTAGTGAAGCCAGCCTAAAGAACAGTTACAAAATTTAAATCATCTGCATAGTTTAAAAGACTATTATATTTCTATCAATGAAATATTGTATATATCAGTGTATGAGAAACAGCCCAAACAAAGGACTGACTTCAAAACCATGTATCTAAAAACTGGTCCAGCTGCCCTACACTTGAAGCTTGATAGAAACATCTATTTCATATAAATAGCTTGGATTCTGAAAACATAGAGCTTTGTTCTAA